GCGGGGGGGGCGGGGGGGGGGCCGGCCATATTCGTTTAGTAATCACCACACATAGAACTCACTATTTGCGTATGTGTGAGAAATGAAAGTCAGATCCTGCGCACAATAAACAAAATAGGAAATAGAAATAGGAATAATTATTAAATATTAGAAATAAAAAATTGGAATTATTTATTTTAAAAATAAAAAGAATAGAAAAAATTAATGCATGAATTAAGAAATGGAACTAATTAATATATATTTTATTCTCTTGTTAAATGTAAAATAATTTCTCTTTTTAATATTAAATGATTATTGCTATTTCTAATATTTTGTCTACTGTATGCAGAGCCTCAGAGTAATAAAAGTTAAAGTATTTTATAAAATTTATAGTACAACAATAATAAAACCGCCTAATTTCTTTACGCTTGTCACTCGTTATGTTTAGTGACACCACTACACGAGTGTAACCATGTCACAGACACAGAATCTCTGTGTGAGAATCGCTACATCAATATGGCGGAAAGCAGTCCCCCCCGCACGCTTCAATTACCATCCCCTCTCGCCTAAACTAGGACTTTAGACTCAGTCCCTCTATTCCTTAGTCCGTGGTTTAAGCAGAGAGAAGACTGAGAGTGGACATGCCCGCATTTTATGTGTTTCTGTTCGCTAGCGCCTCTATGTGCACAAAACGTGCACATTGAACTACGTAGCTAATGTCCACGAATTCCGTAAATAATGTCTACGATCTTTTAGGTCTCTTCCGTGCTACATCCATGACTTTTTGGTTCCGATGTGTGCTATATCTACAAAGTGTCCGTAATGCATACTTGTAAAACATGATTATGTATATCAATCAGATTTGAAATATAAATACACACGTATTATAAATACATGTATTATAGCATTTATTTTTGCATTTACAGTTTATTTAGCAAAAGATCAGTTATTTTCAATAACCTGTGTAATTTGAAAATGTACATTTAAATTATTTTAATTAAAATTACTTCTATTTTTGTGTGTGTGTGTGTGTGTGTGTGTGTGTGTGTGCGTGCGTGCATGTGTGTAAATAAAGTATTGCATTTTTGTTAATATTTAAAAAAATGATAAACTTTTATGGATATTTTATGGATATTTCATACAGTAATGACCAATAACTTATTTTGAATATTAAAAGCCAGGGTTGGGTTTACACGTAAACGTAAACTATAATAGATAAAAAAATACTCGCATATTAAGAGGATGCTGGAGTCCTATATTACCGACCGTTTTTTTCAATTTTGTAAATGCAATGGATTTTTTTATTGCTTCAACAGAATCACAAATCCTTTTATGTGATTAAAGTACATATGCTAATACATTGGCCAGTATAAGATTTTAAACAAGAAAAGGAAAAAAATTTGGAAATTTTACCGACAAGTTGTCGGTGTATACAAATATTAGTTTTATACGAAAATTATACAGTTTGCAGATGCAAAACTATCATTACGGCCGAAGAAGAGTACATCAAAGATTGCTAGGAAACCATTAAAAATAAGTTCAGAGATGTAGTCTTAAAAAACCATTGCATTTAGAATTTATGCCAGACATGCGTGCAATATAGACGATAGTGAGGTAAAAAAGGGCAATAGATTTCCTGGATTTTGGGATAGAGGCGCTATACAGTTCTCAGTGCTATCTGTCATATACAGAATCTTTTAGGTTAGTTATGTGTGTTAATTATGTGTAAATGTGTGTTTGTATTATGTGCTACTAAACCCGGCTGAAAAAAATGGGTTGAAGGCACTCTGAAGGATAAAAAAGTGTATATATTATACATAAATTTTGTAACATTTTTGCAAACATTCACATTATTTAGTTACATACATTCATATTCTAATTTCTGTAAAATACTTTTATTTATGTGTAGGGCGTCTTCTACTAATATTCAACTCGCGAGTCGATTCCGATTCACGATCTGTCAGGTTGCCTATTACGATGGGGCTTCTTCGATATATCAATTCTCTATTTCTCTTTTCGGACAGGCGTCAAGAAATTATACTGTGCTTCGATCAATTCTTTATTTCGATTTCTTATCCGTACAATGTCTCGATTTCGACTGCTCGGAATCGTCGTCCGAATTCTCGGTATCGCCGGTCTCTCACGGTGAGACAAGGAGTAGGGAGCAAGATTTTTCGGTAGCTAGAGGGCGATTCAAATCTTACTCCTACAGTCGGCCATTCTGACCATTTGACATTTGACCGTCCTTGGTCACGCTCGAGATAATTCGCTTTTATAATTTTCTACAAATAAAATAAAAATACATTCAACTGTAGATAAACGATTAATTGAGTCAATTTCTACGAATCCAGGGCTTCATCTGGTCAGGACCTACGGTTCCTTCGAACGATCGCTGCGTTAGCTGGAACCCATCGATGTCCTTTACGATGTATCGATTATGGTCCAAAATCTCCTTTATGACATACGGCCCTTTGAACTTTAGAATTAACTTTTTATTGGTGCCAGGAGTGGTATCTACGTTTCGGATCATCACATAATCACCCGCTTTATATATCGTCGCTGCTTTATGCTTAGCATTATAATATCGCTCGTTTATTCGCTGATTATTTGTAATATTTTCCGCCGCAGCCTTCCGCAGCTCATCAAAATCTCTTTCGTTATCCGAATAGTCGTCCAGAAATAATTTAATATTATCGTTTACTTCTCTCAATTGACAAATACCAAACAATAATTTACTAGGCGGTTCGCCGGTAGATCGACACGTCGTATTATTGATAGCAAATTCTACCTTATTAATAATTTTATCCCAATCACATGGGGAGTCGCAGAGCTTCGCTAACATTGGAGTAAGCAATCGATCAAATCTTTCGATCTGCCCATTCGCGCGCGGTGTCCCGACGGAAACGAGCACATGATTTATCGATTCTCTAGAAAAGCCTTGAAAACGCTAGATGTGAATGCGGTTCCGGGATCGGTTATCAATCGTCGAGGTTTGCTATACAATCGAAAATAATCTTGCAAATGTTTCACGACTTCCTCTGTTTTTGTGGATTTGCAAGCGCATAGTCGAATATACTTGGTGAATCCATCGACAATTGCCAATATAAATTTGTTGCCTTTCTTACTTTTTTCTAACAGACCATAGTGATCGGCATGAATTGTAAAAAATGGCCTATCGCCCTTAGGAACGCTTTGCAAGAAACCTTCAGTCTTTCCACTAACTGGAGAGTACTCAATGCATTTTAAACAATTGAGAATATGAGCCTTAATTTTTTTCCGCATATTCGGAAACCAATATAACTTCGTCAAATTTTCGATTACCTTTTCGAGGCCAACGTGTCCTAACTCATCGTGTCCCGTTCTGATTACATTTGTTTCCATCGATACCGGTACATAGAATAACAACTTGTTTTTGACTGCTTTCTTATATACCAAGCCGTCTTGCAGCTCGAAGTGTTTACTTTCACGCACTTCCAAATCGTTTCTAATTCTCCGTATTTCCTCGTCTTGGTTCTGTCTAATAAATAATGTTTGCTCAAAAGTATTTCCTTCTAAAATCAAAACGCTATTACATCGACTGAGCGCATTGACATGTTGCATACGTGTTCTCGGCCGGTGCTCGATTTGAAAATCATATCCTTGCAAATACATAGCCCACCGCGATATTCGTGGGTTTATATTCTGCTTGCGGAGAGTAAGTCAAAAGCTATCGCAATCGGTTACAATTTTAAAAGGTCTACCGGACAAATAAATATAAAATCGTTGGATAGCGTAGACAACCGCAAGGCACTCGAGCTCGAAGCTGTGATACTTCGATTCAGGTAAAGAAGTTCGCCGGCTAAAATAGAACATGGGCTGCATTTTTACGTCGACTTGTTTCTGCAGCAGTATTGCGCCAAATCCACTCGAACTTGCATCACAATGTAATTCAGTTTCAAGTTGCGGAGAATAGATTGCAAGTATTGGCGGTGACGCTAGGCCCCGCTTCAGTGCATTAAAAGCCTCATATTCGGCTGACCCGAAATTAAATTTGTTGCTCCTGATAAGGTCATACAACGGTTTTGCTAGACGCGAGAAATTAAAGCTGGTTCTACAATAAGTTGCAAATGCCCCGTCACCGGTCGCGAAGGATGGCAACTACTAATTGGAAAGCGCTATTTCTAGTTATTTTTAGTAAGACGGAGCATTCGCGACTGGCGACGGAGTATTTGCAACTTATTGTAGAACCGGCCTAAGAATGAATCTACGAAAGTAACTAGTTAATCCTATAAATCTTTGTACTTGTTTAACGGTACGGGGAATGCAGTATTCCGCTATGGACGCTATATGTTCATTACTCAGGTGTACACCTTCGTGGCTAATTGTATATCCCAAATAGGTTATCTCGGCATATAAAAATGTACATTTGTCTAGACGGAAAACTAGTCCGTGCCGGCGGGCAAGGAGAAATACCTCATACAGAATACGAAGATGATCGTCGATGTTTTCCGTTGCTATTAGGATATCGTCAAGATATAACAAAATTTCATTGTTTTCGATGAGCAGTTTAAAAATTTTATAAGTAAAACGCTGAAAAGCTCGAGGGGCATTAGTCAATCCGAATGGCATCCGTAAATATTCAAACTGCCCTAACGGAGTTACAAACGAGGTGTATTTAATACACGATTCGGCAACCTTCACATGATGGAAACCGTTTTTAAGATCGAGCTTACTAAAATACCGCTTATCCCGTAATTGATCCAAATGATCTTGAATCAACGGGGTAGGAAAATTGTCTCGGATGGTGATTTCATTTATTCCGCGATAATCTACACAAAGCCGCAGTTCGCTGTTTTTTTTCCGAACTAAAACAATCGGGCTTGCGTATTCGGACTCGCTAGGTCGAATGATACCCTCGCTCCACAAATTCTCCAGAATAACACGTAATTTCTCTCGATCGGAAAAGGCTAACCGCCTCGGTCGGAAAGCGATAGGATGCTCGTTTTTCAAGCAAATGCTCATTTCGAAATCCACGGAGGAAATCCAGGCTCGATATGCATCTCCGAAATTCTATCATACGTATCTTGTACTTGCTGTGCGATTTCGTAGCTCATCGCAGGATTTACATCCAAATGTTCGGACAGTTTTTCAAACGCACTCGTTGTGTCAATATTTATAATTTCGTGCAGGCAATTACCTTGTTCGTTCTCACGCTCGCCATTGGCACAAGTCACTCGGATCTTTTCTCCTAACGTAATAGTTAGAGACGGACACGATATAAAATCTCTATCGAGCAATGCGGCATGGACCATCGTGTGGTCGGGTACAATTAAAAACGATATTGTCACCGGAATCGATTCTACACGCACTTCCTGCGCAAATACGCCCAAGACTATTAATTTCGTTCCGTTAATACCGCGAAACTCGCAACTACTCGGTTCGACGTCAGACTGCATGCACTCGGGCACGTAAGTGCTTTTTATCAAGCTAACCGGTGAGCCCGAATTTACAATCGCCGCAAGGTTATACCGGCATTCGTTACCACCTTTCTTTTCGACGGTGTTGAGTTTTATCAAACTTTTATTTCTTTTCTAGTCTCGCATGCATGTTCTTTATTTTATTTTCTAGTGCATTTTTGTTTTTTGCGCTTTTTGTTTATATTCTTGCAACCCGCTGTGCGTCGCCAACACACGATAGCGACTTCCGTTCTTCCTTCTTTTTTTCTGTTCTGTGCATGATATATCCTAGTTATATGGTGTGCATCGAGTATCGTCGCGTTCTGTGCGTTGCGTAATATTGCGTTCTTTGTATTCTTTTTTCAATAAAATTCTTTTCTCACCATCATCTTCAAGAGGTTATGGGCCCAGGCAACGCCTAGTGTGTGAGATATAGAAAAGGACATTCGTTAACGTGAGACCCAAGTTTCGTTTACGTTTTCTTTCTTGTGTGAGAATATTTTTTCTCTTGGAAAATGGCAGAGTCAATAGACTTAAGGTAGTACGTCCGCGACAGTACTATTAAAAAGTTAAACTTAACAAAATATGAAAAAGTTCGATAATTTTATGTTAAATATTTATATATATGATATATAATATGTGAATGTAATATTATTGCAAAAGATTATCAATAAAATTTACATGATGTTTCAAAATGCATATAAAAAGCAACCACTTATTGTTCTTTACATATAATACTTTTTGTTGCCATTGTCCATATTATGCATGTATATGTACATGCATTATGTGTACCGATAGACGTACACTAATGTACGGTACTATGGAAATGATCGTGGCAACATCGCATTTTTTCAATATGGCTGTTATATGTCAATCTAGTCAGAATTAAATATGTTAATAAAGTGTTGTATGCAAAATTAATGAAAAATGCCTAATCAACTAAGAAAAAAGGGAAATTTATAAAAGAAAGTGTTTTAAACAAACGTTTAAAAGCCGTCTCAGCTATGGCTAAAGCCAAAAGACATAACCAATCTCCGTCTGTGAATCTCTGTTATAGCGATGTCTGTGAAGGAAGACGTATCGTAGAATTAAAAGAATTGGGAAAAAATTTAAAATGTTGCAATTGCAAGTGCATTCTTTCCTTAGAAAATATTATAGAAGAGATCCGTATCGGTTTAAATTCTCTTTTGAAAGTTATATGTGACAAATGTTACATTGCAACAAACGTTTATACCGGAAAAATACGCTGTCGGCGAGATAAATTAACATATTATTCGGATATAAATATGAAGACTGCTCTTGGTATGGTATTCCTAATTTTAAATACATGAGTATATCTTTGACATAACCTTCACTTACGTAACTTAACCTAATTTTAATCATAGGTTGCATTCATTCTGGAATTGGACATACTTCCTTAAATAAATTATTCGCATCTTTAAATATTCCATCCATATCCTCAAATTCATTTAAAAGATACGAGAGACAAGTTGGTCCAGCAATCGAAAAAGTAGCAAAAGAGAGTTGCAAGAGAGCAGCGGAAGAAGAACGTCAATTAGTAATAAAAAATATTGAGAAGTTATGCAAAGAACTGTAAGAAATATTCTCATTTTATTTTATTTATTAAAAAAGGAGGTGATGTACTATATAAATATACTTTGTTACTTTAAAAATTAGTTTTATTACTATTTTATTATAACATCATACCAAAAGCTTCTTCACTTATGTATTTCACCTTCTTCTGTAACACAGCATTTAATCATACTTGAAAAACAATAAAATCATTATTGATAAATAAATTTCTCTTAGTGACATGTTTTTCTTTTTATTCTTTCCATTAGGCCTGCCGAAATATCAAAAGAAATTTATCCCGAAATTAACACTCTTCATTCTGTCACTTCTAAAAATATTAATTCTCAATCAACTGATACAAATCATATGATACAATCTGATATGAACATATCCAATGAGTTTGATGCTGCCGTTGGAAATATCATCAATATTATTGTATCTTACGATATGGGATGGAGTACACGTGGAAACGGTAGAAGTTACGATAGTTTAAACGGTTATGATGCCGTAATTGGTTTTCTCAGTGGAAAAATAATTGATTTTGCTACTCGTAATAGAAAATGTGCATTCTGCGACTATGGAAATAATAAAGAAAATCATGATTGTCGAAAAAATTTTGAAGGCAGTGCAAAAGCTATGGAGCCTAGTGTAGGTGTAGAATTAATGACTCAAAGTACCGTATTGAAAGAAATAGGACTAAATGCTCGCGTTTTAATCGGCGATGAAGATAGTTCGACAATTGCTGCTGTACGTCGCGAAAGTTTGCAATCGATTTTCAAATTATGTGATAGTAACCATCTAAAGAAAAATTTTCTCAGTAATTTGTATCAATTAAAAAAACAATTTAAAGAAATGGCTAAAAAAGATACTATACCTTATTTAAAGAAATGTTTTAGTTACGCAGTTGCTCAAAATAGAGGGAAATCTTCAGAATTAGCAAACATTTTGCGCAGTATTCCCGAACATGTATTTGGACGCCATGAAAATTGTGGAAATTGGTGTGGAAATTATCGAAATACTAGAAATAACAAACCACAGGAAGTACTACTGACAGATCCAAAGCTTTATAATAAATTACGAGAAATATTTTTTAAATATGCCGCGAATGCTAGTAAATTTTCGATTGCTGCGTCGAGTCAGGCAAATGAGAGTCTTAACAATATTATGGCTCACAAAGCTCCAAAAAATAAATGCTATAGTCGGAGTGCATCTTCAGATTATCGTTTTGCAAGTGCTGTGTGTAACAAAAATGAGGGCGATAGTCATATAATAAACATTAAAGAAAAATTGTGTCTCTCTCCTGGAAGATACACAAAATCTTTTGTAGCAAAGAAAGACGAGATCAGAGCAAAACGAGCGGTAATAGCAAGACTACCAGTTACTAAAAAGCAAAGAAATGTGCTACGCAGAAATAAAGAAGCACTGCGTAAACGATCAGAACGAATTGAAGGCACAACGTATCTTACTAATTGTGGTATTGATCAAAATGAAAATTATCTAAACAATACAGTCCTTCCAATAATCAATTCTTCTCATTTTATAAACGATGAATCACATGAATACAAAATAGTCTTCTTTGATTTAGAAACATCGGGATTTCAAAAAACTGCAGATATTTTGCAAATTGCAGCATAATGTGAGGAAAGCATATTTTGTACTTATGTAAATCCTACACAATCCATTGCGTCCAAGGCGTCAAAAATAACAGGATTAGAAAATATCACCGGTGAATTATTCTTATATGGAAAAAAAGTTAACTCCATTAACATAAAAGCTGCATTACAAGCATTTTATGAATATTTACATTCACTATCAAAACCAAGTATATTAGTTGCACATAATGCGACATTTGACACTTCTTTCTTTCTTCGCGCTGTAATTAATAATTCTATGACGGAGCTATTTAAAAATATTATTATAGGATTTTCAGATAGTCTACCACTTTTTAAAAAATTCCTTCCTCATCGACGAGGTCCAGCAATGTTTAAATTGTCTAAGTTAGCCCAGGATTTACTAGAGATTGACACAACAACAAATTTTCATGATGCACAATTTGATACTAATGTTTTACAAAAAATTGCAAATCTCATTATTCCAAAAAATAATTTTTTTATAAGTCATAAATTGTATTCAGAAGCGATAATAAACGAAATGCAATCGCAAATAACAGCTACTTTTATTACATCTCTGCAATTCCTCAAAGGCACTATATCGGAAGGAATGATAAAAAAATAGCCAATAGCAAAATAGATTATAATAAGTTAAAAGAATCGTATATCGAAAACGGAAAAAAAGGCATTACGCTATTACTATCTGAAAGACTTGATAATGGAAAACCACGTGTTACTAAAAATAAAAAAGTATTGGAAAAGATCCAAACATTTTTTTCACAAAACAATATTTAACTTTATATATAATTAATCTAGTAGTGTAGTGTTTTATTCGTTAAACTGCTAAGTCATTATAATAAGTGTTTTTTGTATTTGTGTTATACGATATGATTAATATTGTTTATTATGTGTTAATTTTATGTAGATATTTAAAGATAACTAAAAAATAAAAAAGAGAAAAATTATATAAGTGTTCATTATTTTGCATCAATTATAAGTATTCATTATATAATTCGCATTTTTAAATTTATATAACTTATTGTTAGTTAAAATTTTATAAGATTCTAGCATTTTACTTTAACTTATATATATTATTTCAAATTTAGAAAAAAGACTAATTTTTTAATAATTTTTTACATTTTATACAAATTTATATAATTATTATTTATTAAAAAATAATATTAAATTCGTTTTAAAATCAGAACATTATATAAATCGGCGTAAGCTCTATTTATTTCCATATAAAATAATTAGATGCGCATTGACTATCCGCGCATACAGCGTTGTCGGATTTTCACAGGTTAGTTTCTGTATAACACGAATGCTGAAAAAATTGTGTACTTTTCATATCTTTTTCTCTAAATCTAAACGGTCAACAGTATTCAAATTTTTTTATAATATTTTTACAACATTCTTCTTTTATTTATTTATTTTTTATTCAAACGGTAAGAGTAGTTTAATTGTTAAGAATTAAAAACATAACATCGATACCGGTTTAGCGTATGCGATACGTATAAAAAGTGTTAATTTTAACATTGAATATCTCAGCTTTGATACGGTCAATCTTTCTCTAATTTCACAGATATATAGGTAGTATTTCCATTAATATACAGTTAAAGTTTAAAAAACTTCTTAAGAAAATGACTTGGCAGACGTACTACCTTAAGAAACATT